ATCATCCCTGACCCCTGACCTCAACCTCTAAATGGTACATTTATCTCAGCAGGAGCCCTCCATCACCACCCCCAGAAAGCCTCACCCCCTACCCATGGAACCCTGAGACTCTGTGCCTCCTCCAAAGGGGCCAGGGCGGGTCGGGCGGGGCTCACCTGAGATATTGGTGGTGATCTCGGTGAGCGCCGCCTGACCGAAGCCTTTGCCCGTGCGGGCCCGCACGGAGAACAGGTACGTGGTGCCCGGGTGCAGGTTGGAGAAGACGTGGTAGGTCTCATTGCGGAGCTTGGAGATGGTACGCCGTGGGCCTGGCACATTCACTGCCGGGTCTGACGACTCGATGCTCTGGTAGCTGATCTGGGGGCAGGATGGGCAGGTAGGCGGGCACAGGGATGGGGAAGGGCATCACTAGTCCCGTAGCCTCCCACCCATCATGGTTCAGGTGAGCTAGGGATAAGGCTGGACAAAGGGGAGAAGCTTGGTGGGGGGACCGTGGATGCCCCTTAGTCCAGGCCTCTGGGCACCTTCGCCTCTCTCTTCTGCCTTCAGGGCCCCTGTCCCCATAACACATGGGGCACAGACCGCAGCCACAGTGGAAGGAATCCCGATCATCATCTGTGTTCCTCTGCCCCATACACTTCCCTCTCCAATCTGTGGGCCCACCTTCCACCAGGGGCCCCAGCTGTAATAGGGTCCAAACCCACCTCATACTGAGTGATGAGGCCATTGGGCTCCTGGGGCTCCTCCCACTTGAGGAAGATCATGTCCTCCAGCGGAGTGAAGGTCAGGGACTCAGCCGCAATCCCGCCAGGCACTGCAAGGGAAAGGTGACATGGGGCAGGGAAAAGCAAGCTTTGGAACCAGATACCGAGTTCAGATTCCAGCTTTGCTATTTCCTAGCTGGAATGCTTGGACCACTCAGCCTCTCTAAGCCTCAGCTTCCTCATCTGTGAAATGGGGATGATAATAACACCTCCCTCACCAGAATTAAATGATGTGATGTACATAAAGCCCCAAGGCAAATAAATATCAGCACTCTCATATGGTTCAGCCTACGCCTGAGTACTCGAAAAGGGCAGCTGGCACTTTCATCACTGTGCAGGATGCATTTGGCAGAGAAGAATGAATGCTCCTATTTTGTTCCAGTTGAGTGGTTTTCAGAAAATATAGACATTTGCCAGAAAAATGAAAACAACCGCATTAGAGCGGCAGGATTATGGGTGGAGCTGTTTTCTTGTCTAAAAATTACTAATTACACAAACAATATGTTCAATGTAGAAAATCAAAATAGGCATAAAGAAAATTAATGGCACCTACAATTCCATCACCCAGAGATAAATACTGTCAACATTTCAGCAGAAGCCCTTTCAGGTATGGTTTTGTTTTTGTTTTGTTTTGTTTTAAGGTATCATCTTAACAGCAGGCTCAAGGAATTTTTTCTAGGAAGAGAACGGCCTTTGTTTGGGAAAACACCTTGATAAACCCTTGTGGGGAAGCTGAACTCCTGAGATAGGGGAAAGCAGAAACCCAGATAACAATCAGGGACAGCTCAAGTGCCCTGTGTTAAAATGAACAGTTAACAAGGTGACACAACTATCCACCCACCAAAATGATAAACGGAAAAAGACAATTCCAAGTGTTGGTGAGGATGCAGAGCAACCGAAATTTTCACACACTGCTAGTGGGAGTATAAATTGATACAACCACTTGGGAAAACTGGATATATCTACTTATTATGAACACATATCCTATAACCTAGCCATTCTACTCCTAGGCATAAACCCATCAGAAATGTGTATATCTACCAAAAAAAAAAAAAGAATCTACAAGAATTTTATTTGCAGCACAATTAAAAATAGTTGAAAACAACCCAAATGCCCAACAATAGTAAATAAGAAAAATAAATGTGGCATATTCACATAACGGACCATTCAGCATTGAGAATGAATTCTCTAGAACTGTACACACAACATGGCTGAATCTCTCAAGCATAAAGCTGAGAGAAAGAAGCCAGTCATAAAAAGAGTACACACTGTATGATCCCACTGATGTAATGTTCAAAACCAAGCAGAAATTAATCTGTGGCATTACAGGTCAGGATAATGCTTACCTTTGGAAGGTTGTGAGGGGGAAGGTGCATAAAGGGGGGCTTCTGGGCTGCTGGTAATACTTTTTCTTGGTCTGGGTGTGGTTATCCTGATGTGTGCCATCTTTGAGAATGCTTTGAGCTGACCACTTAAGATAAGCACACTTCCCGTAAGTATGACACGAATACTTCAGGGAAGAGTAAAAAATATTAAATAATGAGCAGTTATCAGAGGGAGGGGGGAGAAGAGGAACAGAGAAAGAAGAAAGAAAACCAAGTAACCCAAGCGAGACCTGGCCAGGGTTGGGGGAGGGGGTGTGAAGCAGCCACAACAACGTACCCAGCAGGGGGTGAGGGGAAAGGTCAACAGACTTTAAGAATGGAGCAGTCTGCTTTCAGTTTGAGGTTACTTAAGAAGCGTATCAGTATATGCTACCCAAAATATGCCACTTGGTGTAAGGATTATTTTGAGCTGAATTGAGAAGGCAATGTAGGAGCATACATGAGAAAAACTTCTCTGCCCTCCCCCTATTTGCCTAAAAGTAGGGCGTAAATTTGTAAAGGGGCCCCCTTCCCCTCTCTACCAGGAAGGACAGAAGTTAATCACTGAGAAAACTAGACCTTTATCAGCCTGGAGGAATCTACCTAACAAACTTTACAGACTACCATTAGTTTCCCCATACATTTGACTTCCCCTAATTTGCTGCCCCTAGAAGCTCAAAGCCCTTTTCCTTTGTCTTGTCACTTCTCTAAAAATTCATTGTTCTTTTGTTAGGACACTATATAAGTCCAAGTTCTCACCACCCCTTTGAGTTACTCATCACTGAGTACTCCCCTGTTATGGGTGATGCATGTGTTCATAAACTGCTATTTCCTAGAATGGAAAATAATCTGAAAAAATACGGAAGAGGCTGGCTTTAAGAGCAACATGATGGTTGTGGGGTTTTAGGCAAGATTTAATCCTTTTGACTCTGCTTTCTTGTGTTTGAACTGGGATCACACCTTCCTGGTGGGTATGTTGAAAACATGGAAAAATACGTATATGTATATGTGTATATATATATATATATATATATATATATATATATATATATCTCTTATATCTGAATCACTTTGCTGTACACCTGAAACTAACACAATATTGTAAATCAATTATACCTCAATTTAAAACTTTTTAATAAAATAAATAAATAAAAATAAACTCCCATTTGTTTTTCTCTTGTTAATCTGTCTTTTCTCCATCTAATTTACAAGGGCCCCAACCAATGAACCTAAGATGAGTAGAAGAAAAAAGTTGTTTTTCCCTTCCTACATTTGCAGTGATTCAGGGTAAACCCCCCTAGTTCTCATTCCCATCCCCAGCAAATCCTCAGCGCACCAGTGCAGGGCATAGAGGATACACGTTGCCTCAGGTGAGTGGGGTTTTCTGGAAATCAAGGAAGGAGTTGAATTTTATATCTGGGATGCTGCTGTGAAGAACAGAAAACTGCATATGTGAGGAAGCAAAAAACAAAACAAAACAAAAAACTATTAACCAAGGAGCTTGGGGTTACCTGGGATTTTACAGCAATCTGGAGAGCGCTTTTGCTGGCATTAGAGTGTAGCTGTTAAGAAAAACAACTCTCAAACAGCTGGCCCGGTTTGAAACCCAGCTCTGCTACCCATCTACTAGCTATGTGCCCTCATCTGTAAAATGGGAATGGTAATAGAAAATAACCAAATAGGGTTGTCATGAGGATCATATGCATTAATACATGAAAAGCATTCAGAATAGTGCTTGACATATAGTAAGTGCTTAATAAATATTAGCTTGACATAAGTAGAACATTGCACCCAACAAGGACAGAATGCCTATTTTTTTCAAGTAGATATGGAACATTTATCAAAATTTAACCATATGTCAGGCCATAAAGTAGGGATCAAATTTCAAAAGACCAAAACTAGAGTATATACTCTGACCATAGTGGAAGCAAGCTAAAAATCAATAACAAAAAGATAATTAGAAAAATCCCAATTGCTTAGAAATCAAGCAATGTATTCTAAATAACTCTTGGGTCAAAGAAGAAATCATAACAGAAATTAGAAAATATTTTAAACTGAATGATACTGAAGATAGGATATATCAGAACCTGGGGGATGCAGCTAAAGCAGGGCCTAGAGGGAAATTTATAACTTTAAATGTATATATTAGAAATAAAGAAATGCTCAAAATCAATGATCTAATAAGTTTCTACCTCAAAAAGCTAAAAGAAAAGCCGATCAAATCCAAAGAAAGTATTTTTCTTAAAAAAAGAAACAAAGAATAGAAAATATTCAATAAAGAAAATAAACTAGGGGCTTCTCTGGTGGCACAGCGGTTAAGAATCCGCCTGCCAATGCAGGGGTCACGGGTTTGAGCCCTGGTCCGGGAATATCCCACATGCTGTGGAAGCAACTGAGCCCATGTGCCACAACTGCTGAGCCTGCGCTCTAGAGCTGGTGAGCCTAGAGCCTGTGCTCCGCAACAAGAGAGGCCACCACAATGAGAGGCCCGTGAACCGCAACGAAGAGTAGCCCCTGCTCGCTGCAACTAGAGAAAGCCCGCGCACAGCAATGAAGACCCAACGCAGTCAAAAATACATAAATGAAATAAACAAATTAAAAGAAAAAAAAGAAAAGAAAAGAAACTAGGCCAAAAGTTGGCTCTTTGGAAAGATTAATAAAATTTATACACCCTTACCATGAGAAACATGAGAATAAGAGAGAAGACACAAATTACCAATATCAGGAATGAAAAAGGGAATAGCACTATAGATCCTACTGATGTTCAATAAATATAATAAGATAGTATTATAGGGCTTCCCTGGTGGCGCAGTGGTTGAGAGTCCGCCTGCCAATGCAGGGGACGCGAGTTCGTGCCCGGGCCCGGGAGGATCCCACATGCCGCAAAGTGGCTGGGCCCGTGAGCCATGGCCGCTGAGCCTGCGAGTCCGGAGCCTATGCTCCGCAACAGGAGAGGCCACAGCAGGGAGAGCCCCACGTACCGCCAAAAAAAAAAAAAAAAAAAAAAAAGATAGTATTATAACCGACTTTATGGCAAGAAATTTGACAATTTAGGTGAAATGATCAAACTCCTTAAAAACGCAGTATACCAAAACTGATACAAGAGTAGAAAACCTGAATATTCCAATATCTGTTTTGAAAATTAAAACTACTATTAAAAAACCCTGCCACAAAGAAAACTCCAGGCCCAAATGACTTCACTGCTAAATGTTCCCAAACAATTAAGGAAGAAATATACCAACTTAACCCAAAGTCTTCAGGGGAATAGATATCAGTATCATTACTTTACTGTTATACAGTCGGTTTAATCCTAAGCAAATAATTTCCTGTAGCAATTTCAGTCTCAGACATGCAGCGTCTGTGGGAGGTACTGAGGACACTGGGAATAAGGGGGCCTCTTACCATCCTCGTCCGTCTGGAACGTGACCTCCTTGCCCTCCTTGCGCCCCTCGGGGTTAGTGAGGACGAGCCGCACATGGACATTCCGGTAGGGCAGTAGGTTCTTGATGGTGTAGTGGCTGACACCCCGCTCTATCTTCACACATTCCCGGATGGTCTGGTTGTGGCTGCTGCCCAGGGTGTAGTGATAGCACAGGGACACAGTGTAGGTGTGGCAACGTGTCACGTTGTAGCCCAGTGGTTCCCACTGCAGGGTCAGCTGGCGGGCCTGGATCTCAGCAAAAGCCAGGCCTTTGGGGGCCCTCATGGGCTCTGGGCAACCCAGGAAGCAGAGAGAAAAGGTAGGAGAAACGGGAAAAGAAGAGTAGGTGGGAGAGAAAACATCATTCAACTGACATCAACCTTCCTTTGCCCCCAGGAGTCCAAGAGACCCCCTAGAAGAGCAAACAGTGAGTAAAAGTGTGTTTAGAGTCAGGCGGGGCCACATCTGAATCCTGGCTCTGCCACTTGCAGCTGGCAACCACTGGCTAAGCTGCTTCACCTCTCTGAGCTTTACTTTTCTCAACTGCAAAATGGAATAATAGGCCCTACCTCATAGGATGGCTGTGAGGTTTAAGGTAATACATGCAAAGCACGTGCAATAATGGCTAATACGCAACAGGCCCTCGAAAATTTTAGCTATAATTTTTTTTAATAATACAGTTCACCTCCTATTTCAAGATCATGCTGGAGGACGTCAAGACAGTCTGAATAACCAACTGCTGTATTTTCCTTAATTTATTAATTCCAAACTTGTTCTAAAACAGCTTATAGTAATACATACGATACAATAGTATAGAGAAGTCAGGATGATGGGGGAAATGAGAGGCAAATAGTTAAATAATGCCAGAGAATGTTAGGAAAATAGAAATGCATGTCATTAGGTTCTATGTGGAGCTAAAGATAAGATTCAAATTAGGTGGTGAGTTTCCTGGCTGCCAAAGCAAAAAGGGAAATACAATCTGTTAGATGATGATAATGATGATGATGATGATAATGGCTGTTAACATTTATTAGAGGCTTTGTATGTGCTAGGCATTGTTCAGAGGCTTTAAAATGCTTTATCTCATTCAATCCTCTCTGTAATCCAATAGACAGGTGCAATTATTAGCCCTGTTACACACATGTAGAAATGGAGGCACACAGGAGAGATAAGTAACTTGCCCACAGTCGCACAGACAGTAAGTGGTAAAGCTGGGATCCAAACCTGGACAGGCTGGCTTCAGAATTCACACTCTTAACCACCACTACCCTGCCTCCCCATGAGGAATTCACTGTCCAAAAAATAAAAATAAATCACATCAATGCCTCTGGAGAGGCAGCTACCCCAACAGAGGTAGAGAGAGGTGTATATTACTCTGCTTTACAGCCTCTTGAGGATTCCATAAAACCAGAAAGTTATCCTCATTTTATAAGTAAAGAAATCAAGGCTTCTGAAGCAAAGCCAGGATGGAGCCCAGGGGGCTCAGACCCATCCTGCATCTGCATTGACCAGCTGTGGGATCCTAAGCAAATCTCTGGGCCTCGGTTTTCTCACCTATAAAATGATGGAAGAAGCCAAGATTACTAATGATCCTCTTCTCTCTTGCCCCCTGACTGTGCAGGTTCTGTGACACCTGCAAAGTTTCCCCAGTTAGAGGACCTCAGGACACACCTTAATGAACAGGAAAGAAAGCACTACTGCTTGCCCTCTTAAGATCATTAAGTATGACCCTATTATTTTTATATGATTAATTTTCTCAGGATGATCTTTACAAAGATGATGCAAAGAGAAACATCAGGCTGCTCTTTACTCGGGAATGCCTGGGTAGGTAGCACAGCTTTAGACACTGGTCCCAATGACAGCACAATGCAAGTCTGTTTCCGCCCAGGAGCTTTCCTTCCTTCCCTGGACCACAGGCAAGTGGCAGTCTCCAGTCATACATCAGACCACCAGAGAGATTTCAACACATGCTAAGAGCAAAGCCCACCTCTTGACTTCTTACAGACAGCCTGGCTCTCTTCTCCCCACAAACGAGGCAGACCCAATCCCCACCCGACAAAAACGTTAAACGGCTGGCTCCCTGCTCACTGCAACCTGAGGGTTGCTGGCTGCAAGCCCACTTACCACACTTGTGTTTTCTCTCCCGTTCCTGGCGCACAGAGATTTTCCTATTGGTTTTCTATACAGTTTTGTTTTAACCCATCGTTCTTATGTGTTTGGAGAGGAGTGGGAGGATTTTGTGTGTGCTCACTCTGCCATCTTGTTCAGAGATCCTTGCTTTACTCCTTGACTTTCTGGCTCTGGTCCTGGCTGCCCGATGTGTCCTGTCCCAAGGTGTCTGTCGGTGTCTATGTCTATGTCTATGTCCATGTCTACTAAAGCCAAGTACCATGGCTTTATTTGCACTAGTGAGAGTGGATCTCGTTTCCCTGCAGCTCTGCTCACACCATCCCCACCCCCGGGAACACCTGCTCCACATTCTTTGCCATCCTTCCAGGTTTGGCCAGAGTGTACTGCTTCCTTCACCATCTGGCAGCATTTAGAGAAGGACATGAAACGTTAAATATAAACCGGTAACACAGGCTGGGTGGGGACCATGACCAACAAGACTGTAAGTGTCCCATCCAAAAGAGGCAGCTGCCACTCAGTTCCAGGCGTTATCGCCATGCAGGACTGCAGGCTCAGGGTTGCCAGATCCTCCCATTTCTTAAGAGAAGCCAGAAATTCCGATTTGTGTGTGTGAAATCTCCAGAGTTTTAAATACTGGCAACCTACTCAGGTTTCTTAAAACCACTTTGCAGGGCACAAAATGGTAACCTCGACCTTGGAGGAGGATGAGACTTTCACCCTCGTGCTTGGGTATCTCCTTCTCCAACAGCTGTGTTAGCCCCCATCCGCCTCGCTAGAAGAAGGGGTCTTTGGAAAGAAAGCTCACTTTTCTTCCTCTCCCCACCCTGAACAAATCTGGGCAGATCCAGGGGCTCAAATAGTTTGTTGACTAAAGGCTGATATGTTGATTGAGGGGTGTGAATTCATGAGTCTCTCTGTGTTTCCAAAAACCATCTGGCACCCAGACACACTCTCTTCAGCTGCCAGCAACACACTGGCAAAACAGAACTTGGGGACCTCAAAGCCCCGTCTCTCTCAATTCCATATGGCTGTAGGCTATGCAGAGATCAAAGGTCAAAATGCACATTAAAACAAGAAGGCGGGCTTCCCTGGTGGTGCAGTGGTTGGGAGTCCGCCTGCCGATGCAGGGGACACGGGTTCGTGCCCCGGTCTGGGAAGATCCCACATGCCGCGGAGCGACTGGGCCCGTGAGCCGTGGCTGCTGAGCCAGTGCGTCCGGAGCCTGTGCTCCGCAACGGGAGAGGCACGGCAGTGAGAGGCCCGCGTACCGCAAAAAAAAAAAAAAAAAAAAAAAAAAAAACAAGAAGGCTAACAGTTAACATCTGCTAAATTAGGCCAAAATGTGTTGATTTTAATGATATTAAGGAGGATTCAATAACCCTGAAACTTTAACTGTTTCTTGAGGAAGGGGCTTGGAGTGGAGTCGGGTGCTCCAGAGTTCAAATCCTATCATCTCCACCTCTCATTAGTTCTGTGACTTCAGGCAAGTGATTTAACCCCCTTTTGAACATCAAGCTCCTTGACTAAAAAATGGAGATACAGTAACACCTACTTTGAAAAGCAAGTGTGAGAGTTACATGAGATGGTCTAACTTATAGTAGTTAATTAATTAATATGTGCACTCTAAGGGTGAGATACACCCTTATATACAGCAGCACCCTTTATAGTAACAGTATAAATTAGTGCAACCATTTTTAAAGCAATATATGTCAAAGTCCTTTCTTAAACCACCCCTGACTACTTATCTCAAAGAAATAACTCAAGGAGGAAACAAAGCACAATAAGCACTAAATTTTTCAATACAGTATTATTGACAATAATAGGAATCTAGAGACAAATAGCCCAGCCATATGGAGATACTCAGTGGACTCCTACAGCCAATAAACATAATTATAAACAATATAACACATGTAACACCACCAAGAAAAGGAAGCAGAATACAGAATGCTTTCTACATCCCAATGACAAGGGTGTGAAATGTGTACTGTAGGCATGTGGGCAGAGATTTGAAGAAGGCAGTAAAACTAAAACAGCTGTTGGGCTAGGATGGTGAGATTTAGAGTGATTTCTTTTAAATGTCTTCTACTGACGTTATATTATTGTTTTTACATTAAATAATATCGTGGGAGCAGAGTTTCATGGGGACCAGGGAGATGACAACACAGCTGACCAATAGCAAAACAACTATGGGCCAAGGCGCCTAAGCAAGGAGGGGTGGTGATGCCAACGAAGAGAAGGCAGGGTGAGTTGTCCGGATCCTGTCTGCTTGGTCCCTGCCCCAGGTCCCGTCCCGGCCAGCCTATGTAAAGTGTTCAGCAGTGCTGGCACAAAGTGGGCACTCAGCCCACAATGGCAGCTGCTGCTGCTGTTCCTGATGGTGTGGTTGTGACGGTGGTGGTAGTTTCAAACACTAGACTGGAAGGCAGGACATTCCAACTTTGGTTCTGACTCTGCTACAGACTCACTGCGTAGATTTGGGCAAGTGACCTCTAAATCTCAGTTTTCTCATCTGTGAAATGGGAATGAACAACAGCTGTCACCATAAAACATGGGTTCTTAACCCACTGTATGATCACAGGCAAGTGCCTTCCTCTCTCTGAGTTTCATCTGTACATTAAGGAGAGTAGAAGAGAGATTCTCTGTGGATCCCCAGCTCTGATTTCTTTTATTCTAAGTACCTGACCAGAACTGGCTTTGAAGAGTTAAAAACACCATAGCAACAATAGTTGTCATTTACTGAGTGCTTACTGTGTGTTAGGCACTATACTTCACAGGCATTTAAAGCATTTGCATGCCATCACCTGCATTTAACCCAAAACACTGGAGGGTCCCACGGTTCAGGCTTCACTGCTTTTCTCTTTTCCACCTACACTTATTCCCTAAAATCTAAGGATTTTAAATCAGGGGTTCTCAACCTCAGCATTATTGACGTTTCGGACTAGATAATTCTTTGTTGAAAAGGCTGTTCATACACTGTAGCATGTTTATCAGCTTCTCTGGCTTCCTCTACCCCTTAGACGTCATTAGCACCCCACCCCCAGTTGTTAAAACCAATATGTCTCCAGACCCTGCAGATGTCTCCTGGGAGACAAAATCATCCCCCAGTTGAGAACCACCATCATAAGAGATCTCATCCAGTGTCATGGATGTAAATACCATC